TGGCGCTGCCAGCCTGACCCAGTGCATACAAGATTCTGAAACGAAAGATGTTAGCCTTGCTTCCGAGCACGCCTGCATCTGTTTTCCTGGGAGTTGAGCTAGCTGTTCAGCAGTCTCTTCTTGATGAAGGACATGGTGAAACGTTTGGACGTATGTAGTCCATCTCTGTGGCCTGGACTTCAGGCACGGGATGTGTTGGTGGTCCCTCGCCAGGCCCGGGGGAATTATCCTATGTGCACCAAGTTTTCAATGCAACATGCTAAGCACCAGTGCTGCCAAGATCGCCTTTCTTCCGAATTTCGGGCTGTGCAAATTCAGCAACTTTTCCTGCAGTTTTGGCTCGATACTCCATTTGCTGGGTGGGTCGTCGTTCCTATGAAGGCCATTGCAACATAATAGCAGAAGGCATGAACTCAGCCTCCGAGCACCTTACTATAGAAGGCAGGAACCTGCTCGCTACAGCCATGCACCGGACTGCTTAATCCCCTCCCCTCCCCAAAAAAAGAATGAACCCCACCCCCTACTAACATACCTTCCCTGAATCTACACGGAAACTATTTTGGAAATATCTGTGGGGCTCGTCGGCCTGAAAAAGACCCTCCGACCAGGAGACCGGGAACTCCTCATGTCTCAACAGCTTCTCCTAAATTACTCACCCTTTCCAGCCCAAAATCGAAAACCGTCAATACACAAGAACAAATACAGTGCAAGCCATGTTTCTTACCAGAGGGCTAGGGGCTGTTCAACATCACAGGGATGGGCTCATTGGCATCTTAGGGGCCTGGGAGGCGTCCCCGGCTAAGTGTGTCTGACAGCTGGGGTTCATGATGCTCCTTGATGTTTCAAATTCAAAAGTCTTTTCCGGACCTCTGGGCAAGGCACTACGCGGGACCGGCAGGCTCTAACCCCAGTTTAGGGGCCCTCTGCAGAACCAGCCCCACCCAAAAAATAATTGTAGTTGCGCGTGCTGAGTTGCACCCACAGCTTTGAAAAAGACAAAGGCTTCCAAAATAGGGTGCATTATGGTGCATTCAATCGGTTGTGTTGGTACACAATTGTTGGTCTCTGCCGTGCCAAAACAAGGTCGCCTGGTTTGGTGGAGCCTCTTTCGAGTGTGAGATCCTATTCTGAAAGCCTCATGACGGATCCTGGTCTGGCAGTGCATGGCTTGCTGGTGCTGTTGTAGGAAGGCAGGTCTGTGTTGGGAAGGCTTCTTGTCTCTACTAAAAATCGAAGTGAGGCTCTAAACTCTAGACAAGAGCCATTCTGTCTGAAGCTGTGCCAAGCAGGCATGCGATACAAAGCCAAGAGCTGCAACACACATTGACGTAGAGTGCTCCCCATGCCGCAACCTGCTACACCCAAAGGTCAAAATCACAGGATTCTTCTGGGGAAAGGCCAAATCGGAACACGAAATGCGAAGAAAAGCCTTTGCTTCATGTGGAAAGTTCGATCCACGTAGCGCGAAAGATCCAACGTATATCCGGGTTACGAAGAGATGAGGACCGCCTGAAGATCTTGAAGGAAGCTACCAATACCGTAGTCTCAGTCAGTGTGTACCGGCAGGCATACACAAAACTACACAGCATACACACCCATGTGGTACTCTTCTGCATGCACCTCTGCAAGGCCAGGCTCGCAAGGACTGCCCAAGTGCCCGAAGACACCCCTCCAGTTGTGGGAGCGAGTGATTAAAGGGCCAGGGTATGACAACAGGCATGCAAGCTGGAGATGCTCTGCCGAAGGCGTCTCGAAACCATGAGACCTCTTCAAGCCTTCATTCTACTATCTTGGTGACGTTGCGGCTGCAAATAAAGCTGCGTATTCAATGCTCAGGCTTGCCCATGAGCATTATACTCCAGTAGGTCCTCGCTGACCCCATTAAAGAGGAACGTTTTAGCATACAAGCTCCAACTCTTGCGCTGCTCTCTTCCTGACACTCTCACGAAATCCTTTGATCACCCCAGAAAACCCTCCTGCTTGCAGCTTCTGATTAGCAGAAAGAAATTCTATTTGCCATCACTGGTTTGGCGCCACGTTGTCTGCTATCTTCCTGGCAAGAGCAACCAACCCCCTTGAACATGAGCTGAATGGCTCTCACATTTATGGATCCTTTTTTCTGGGTGCGGCTGCTCAAAATCAAGATGCCAGTAATTTGGGCTGACACTTTTGAGGGTTGATGTGTTCAGGCATGTTCATTTTGGCTTATCCAAGCTGATGTTTTCATGGCCAGCAGCTAACTTGAAGTCAACTAAAATTAAACAAGGACATCCTCAGGAGAATTCCCTCCGGCGCGCAAGGAGGCATGCCAGCTGACAATCAAGGTCACACGCATCCAATGACGAATGAGCATGTATGAGTGATCCTTAGCTGCTACACCCCGTTCAAGCTCCACACTTGGCCGAGCGAAGCCACTAATTAAGCCTCCTAAACGAACCAGCCTAGTCAAAGCCATATAGGCCTGAAAAAGTGTTATTCATGCTCACCCTCTTTTCTGTTGATGCGAGGATTGCTTTTCAGCTGATGTGGATATGCATCCAGTTTCAGGTATTCTTCTGTAATTCAACAGCAACTAGGTACTTACGCAGAAGCGGCCAAAGGAAGGCAGAATCAATCGAGAAGTTCAAAAAAAACAGGAGCTGGGTCGCACCTCATCTGGCTTGAACTTGTCAAAGGCCTACCTTGGTGCCATGAACTTGTGCGGGGCGGGGTGAGTTTCTGCTGTTTCAGTGTTAGCTCACCTTTTGTGCGCAGGTTAAACAGGAAATCACGCTCATGAAGCCTGCCTTCGTTATCAGCGCTGATCGGGCATTGCCTGAGATCTTGCCTGCTTTCTTGTGCCAGTACCAAACCTGATCTGCCATAGATCACTTTGTATCAATCAGGTGTTGCCCCCTTTCTTCAGGTGCAGCTTTAGGTGGATAAACCCATTTGAGAGCTCCTGTCTGCAACCTGAGATCCTTGCACACATGTTGAGAGCACAGTCCGACTTTTGAGGATCAGAGGTTTAACGCCAGTGTACACTGAAACTGGGGTGCTTTGGCTGATGAAAGTGTTGGTGACCAGGCTAGCCTCTCAACTGTGTACACTGGATAAGCTCCCATAAAGAGCGCTGCCAGGTCCCCATTTCATGCTTTGAAGTTATGGTTGTCTTCAACGGTTCCGACACACTGCCAGTTGAAGGCTGTAGATACCGGCGCATCCAATCCAACTAGTACGTAGCTGCCGAATAACATTCCAGCACACTGTTTCAAGCCCGAGTTACCACATACATATATATATATATATCTATGGATATATTGGCATCCCTAGTACAATCTTTCTGCTACAGATTTGAGCACTTCTCTCACATTGAGATTCAGATGGGAACAGAGAGGGGTGCTCTCTTTCTGAGTATCTACCTTCTACATGCTGATTTAGGCTTTGCAGGCCATGGTGTTTCAGTGGGAAGTCCAGGAGTCTTAGGTAGAAGATTGATCCAAGAATGATGGAAATCTAGGCTCCCTAAGTTAGGCCAAAACCATCTCTCGTCAATGTGGCATGGGGAACCACATCCAACCCCAGCCTATGTTGAGAGAAACCAAGTACATCATCCTGAGCAATGGAACCCTATTCCTTACCAATTGCGCGAGCTGCAGTGCTGTCCTCATCTCTCAGCAAAGCAGAGACCTCGCTGTCCACCTCCTCCTCATGTGGAATTAGGACTGATTCGGTTTGGAGCGCAGGGTGATAGGCAATCTGCAGCCCTTACTAACTGAAGGTCCTCCACACTGTGCTTCCGATGGATTGTGTGGATCAATGGCTTGATCGTCGCCAGGTCGTGCAGACCATGCCTGGGACAATCAGCGTTTCTCATTAAGGGGTAGCCGCAGGTACAGCATGTGTCTATATGTCGATTACAGATAGGGGTCAAGCACTGCTATTCCCTCCCTCTGTGCTCGCACGTCGTGGTCTTTGCGCCTCGGGTGAGCCGGGAGGTGGCTTTCGTTTGAGGCCTGTACAACCACAGTCTGCAGCTTTTGACTTACAGGAGCATGAGCCCGCGCACATCTGGACACATGCATATTTAGCTTGCTATCTTGAAAGTCGCAGGGCTCCTGCCACAGAATGTGTTGCCAGCAACAGCTGACATCAAGGCTATACAAGGCTATCGAGCTAGTACCGCAGGCGGATGAAGGCAGTCAGCGTTGTCGCTATCGACAGCCATTGAATGCCGCCGCGCCCGTACGCATGAGAGGTGCCAGCCGGAATAGTCGTAGTCGTTGTGCCGCCTCATTCGAATGCTGGCAAAAGTGACATTCTTGCTGCGCCTTGTGCTTCATAAGTTATATACGGCGGTGGGTTTCAAAAATCCTTCTAGAGATTTTGTCCTTAAACCCTTCCAGCAAACCAAGCTTTGTTATTTGGTATCATTCCCCGAACTTAAGCCCAGGCCATGCCACAAGGGTGACGGGCTTCCACAAGCCAGTCAAAAACCATCTCTGTGCTGCTGCCTTGTTCCATATGAGCGAGAAAGCCTTGGTTGTGAGGCTCCATTCCCTTCCTCCTCGTGCATCAAGCATCATCTCGCAGTCATATCAATGCTGCTGTCTTTCTTGGGGGTGGGCATTCGTGGAAGGATGTAAAGTCCCTACTTCGATCACTCCCTGGCAACCCCAACTGTGATAGCGCAGAGGCTGTAGGTGAGATTTCCCGCCTCTCCCGTGCTCTGCAGGAGGTAGAAGCCTGCTTCTTTTTGGAAGCAGGTTTTAGGGTCAAGAGACTTTAGGGCGATGGTTGGGCAATTCTCAGGCCTAACATTCTCAGGGCAGCTGCAAGGGAGAGGTTCCACCGGGGACTCCTAACTTGGCTCAAAACATGCTGTTAATCTAGGGAGTTTTACTAATCAAGATCACCAATTACACTTGCATGGGCACCCCGACTGCTGCAAGACTTCCGCTACTCAGATCGCCACTGTCGCAGTATGCTGCGAAATATTAGCATCACGCCAAACGACGTTCTCAATCATCCAACTTCCCAGGTAGCCTCCGAGTTATCTCAAAGCATTCCCCTGGAACGCCCCGCCAAAACAGACATACACGAATCCTAAAATCTAAGGGGTCCCTGCTTTCCAATTTGCATCCCAGGCCTGATGCGGAGCAGTAGTTCACAACAAGGCACGCCCTGGTCAGGGTTTGAGGCTGGTTTAGGGCCTGGGTCATCCCAATGAAGCCCTGGCCGTAAATCTGGTAGGTGTAGGGCCATACTCATCATGCAATCTGTCATTTGGAGGCAAAATTCCCTGCCCACATCAAACAAGCCCATACATGCTCCCAAGGAGGAGCAACCAATCTTCAGTAGTCCTGACCGCCTGGTGTGCAAGTGAGCCTCACTGCGCACATGCACCAGGTCCGGCGCCAAGCCAGGAGTCTTTGGGTTTCCATTCACGACCAGCTGCTTGACGATGAAGTTGTTGTAGCACGTGCCTGGCTTTTAGTTCATCACTCAAGGGACCAAGCTTGAACCCATCTGAGATTCTTTTGTTTCATTCAAACGAACATAAACATGAACAGCTTGATGTCAACAGTGACGCAGAAACCGTCCATGAGAACTCCGGTCACCGAAGATTCGGATGCCGTGCTGCTGTCAAAGGTGCAGCCTGAAAATGAGCCTGGCTTCCTCGCCCGAGCCGCATCGCAGCTGTAGCCATCTTCGCAGGTGTCCGTGCCAGGAACACATCGGGAGGTGGCGCCGGTCGCTATGTTGGTGCCCATGTCCTGACTGCTGTTGTTGTTTTGGCCTGACGTGTGAATGTGCCCAATTTTCTTCTAGAGCGAACTAAGGTTGGCCCCAAGCACAGGGGTGGGCCCAGAATAACAAGTCCTCAAAACGAATTGGCGGTGTGGGGGATCCTATGGTCCTATGGCTCCTATTGAAACGACTACACCTGTCAGACAGCTCTCGGATTACCTTCAGATCTAGAAAACATTATGCAACAAAAATTATACGTTATCGGCCCCACCCAAATCGAATAATTAGCGGGTCCCGATTTTTTTTTGTGAAAACTTTACTTCATTGTACACCCGCCCCCCCCTCCCCCCCAGCACCAATCAAGAGTCAACCTTCCAGACTGGCGGAAGGAAACATGAATAGGAATCTGAAAGTTACCAAGAAAATCCATAACGCGATTTTCTTGAAGCACGAATGCACGCCTTGTTTCGCTCGCAGGTAACCCGTCTGAAACCGCGCAACAGCGAAATGCACAAAATCGCACTTGGACGTTTGCTTGCGCAATTAAGCAGGTGTCAAACATTGTGTGCGATTTTGGACCTGAAACATGTCGACGTACGAAAATGCTGAGTCACATTGCACAAAAAATGACAGGCAAGTCACGGTTGCGTCTAAGCCCTGACCCAGAAACAGGCAAACAGCTCCTTTCAGTAGTTACCTTTTGTATACCTTCGGAACCTCATGGACGCAGTGGTAAGTAAGAATGAGACGTTGCTTTGCAATACCGAAGCACGGGATCAAAACAACCAACGCATCAAGCTCTTATCATAAGCCTTAGGGTTTTAGAGATTCCTGTCCTATACTTGCTTGTTGCTGCCTGCTTCTCCTCTGTTTGTTTTCGGCGTGATTCGCATAGGACGTAATTGTACAAAACAAGACAAACGACCTGTGGAAACGAGCGAAAGGCTTGGGCAAATGCATGTTTTACCGAGCGGCCCGTCGAGCACGTGATGTTCGACCCCTTTCTTTTGCGGAACAAAATACCGTACACAAAAGCTGCATTTAATCATCTTGCAGAAAGTAATAAACGTTCACGGCCGCATTTGCGCAACATTTTGCGGCGTGTTTGCATGGACGTCTTCTTCTGCGATGCTCTCTCGTGGACATCGCGATTGCTGGGATCCCGGTTTGCAATTGCTGTCTTTCGGGATAGTGAGCATACTTGCCATCACCGCGTCCCCCTGCTTACTACCACTGCTTTCAAGCTTATGTGTCCTCGATGGAGGTGACCCTAACGCAGCTGTTGGCATCCACCATCCCATTCACCTTAACCGTCCAGTTGTTGTCGAGGCCATGTGCAGCATGAGCACGGGGAAAGATGACGGATGCGGCCAGAAGGTGGAGTGCCAACATGCTGCCGCAAAGCGTATGTGTAGTAGGAACTACCCTTGCCGCTGGGCTTGGGCCGGCCTGAACAGCTGAAGGCTTCGTACTTTCTTTATTCGGCAACACGACCCCCACCTGGGGTTCGGCGATGAAAACAAGCCTCCAAGAAGCCCAGAACTGTGAGTTCAAGCATTCAAGCCGTAGAGGGTCCTGTTTGATTTCCGATTCGGTGATAATACTCGTGACAGCACCAGCAGGTTGAGTGGCTGTAGGGTGAGGTTGTGGAAGCTAGAGGGGGACTAGTAACAGTAGAGGCGGTAACTATGCGTACGAACCCTTGTCACGACTTCCGAGTATATCTATGTCCCAAGCAACCTCTGGCCAAAAGATGAACGCCTGCTGGGAAACCGATTGTCGTGCAGCGGTTCTTTCCCCCCTCTGTGCTCGCAAGTCGTGATCGTCTGCCTCGCGTGGGCCGGGAGGTGCCATTTGTGCTTGAGGCTTTCCAACCACAGTCCGCAGCTTCAGTACACAGGCATGAGCCGCCGCTTGTACTTTGTACAGAACACAATAACAGTGTTATTCCAGAATCAAGCACATACCTAGCTCCATTCTGAAAGTAGCAGGGCCCATACCAGAGAAAGTGGTACAAGTAACTAGTACTTGGTCGTGCCAACGTAGGCAGTCAGGGCAGTTGCCAATAGCAACCATTGAAAGCTGCCATGCCCATGCGAATGAGAGGTGGTAACGGCAGTGGTAGTCGTTGTCTCACCTTGATGTAAGCATAGGCAAAACAGAAGCAAAATGCTCATCACGGCGTTGGTCTTCATTGATTCATAGCACTTAAGGTAAACTGGATGAGTGCAAGTCAGGGACCCCTTGTGTGAGCCATGGCACATAAACACCACACACAAGCAAATTTGGGACTTTGGAGGCCTGAACTGTGCTAACCAATTCAGCACAAGGTCCTACTCCCAAGCCTCAAACCTCATGTCGGTTTGGGGTTCGGGATCATCTCTTCTGACCTAAGCGCCGCCCAAGCCACAAGAAGCGTGGCGAGCCCCAATCAGCCAGTCGAAGACCATCTCCTAAACTCTTCAGCAATCCCTAACAACAAGCTGTTCTTCTGCCCTATGAAACACTCCGCCGCAAGCCCAATTGTGGATACTATATATATATGTAGTATATATATATATATATGTTCTATATATATATATATATATATGTTCACTTTGCCTTGTCCTTAGATTTGACTGACATCCCTAAACCGTAAACAAAGCAGCCAAGTCTCTGTGCTGCTGCCTTTCTCCATATGCGCGAGGAAGCCTGAGCTACCCGACTTCCATCCAGAGGCAGTCACAAGGCTTGGGATGGGGTTTCCAAGCTCGAGATCTGCGAGAAGGAGCTACTGAGAATATATACGTACATATACACATTTGCAGCCACATGTCTGCGGGAGGTATGGTTTCCACCAGTTCGGGCGTGAGGGTCTCTGGTAAAGACTGATGATGTACCTGAAGCTGTCACAGTTCGGGAGGTTTTGGGTACTCAGGGTCATGTGAGAACGTAGGACCGTTTCTAACATGAGCTATAACCGAGCACATCATCAGATACAGGAGTTCCTCCTTAATTCGGAAGATGAGGCCTTTCAAAACATGCGATTGAGCCCTCAGGGGCTCGCTCTTAAATGTGCCGGCGAAAAAAACTACAAAGTTCTTGTCCTGGAGAGTGTAAATTAGAAGGGCCTTCACGACTTTCTCTTGAAGGATTCATGCTGGATGAGCCTGGTCACGTGAAATGCTGCATTTACTTCCATGAGACAAGAGAAGACTAGCCTTGCCGGCTTCTTCCTGCAAAGCCAGCGTTTACTGGGGGACTAAACAGGGACCGCGCATTGAACGAGATAGGTCCAGTTTCTAGGTGAATGTTGCGAGATCATAACATTTTCAGCCTGTGAGAACATCAAGTCAACCAAAACTAATAATTCAACTAGAAGCCACAGTACGACCCGTTAAGGTGATGAGAAGTTCATCAACATTGGGGACAGCGTCTGCAATCTACACCTTCAGAACTCGTTAAAACTAGCCCCACAAGCACCCTAAGAAGAGAGCCTGCATGTGTTGGGGAGCGTTCACCAAGGCTACCTAATTTTCTTTCTGCTCGTGCATGCGAGCTATGGACGGCTCATGCGGGGTGCAGGATGAGGGGTCCCCCTTGCACATCATAGGCATCCTTCCTGACAAGCTTTGCTAAACAACAGGACAGAAGCTGTAGGTAAGGTTTCCTTCCTCTCCCGCGCTCTGCAAGAGGTAGAAACCTGTCGTGCTTTTTCTCTTCGGGCAGGGATGAGGGAATTGGATTCAAGGCCTGCCCCCAAAAAAGCCTGCGACAAAGGCAGGAACACTTCCTACAAGCCTTCCCCAGATATGACTGTCAGAAAGCTCATTGGTGCTCAATTGGGACTGGTAGAGTGGATTACAGGGTTTGTTGTTCAGGCATGAACAGGACAATCGTAGGGATTCCCAGTGCCGACTATGCACCTTGTTACCGGCACTCGTAAAGACAGCACGTACAGTAACAGCAGCAGGGTGACAATACGAACAAACATCAGAAAACAAGAGTAGTAATTGCAATCATAACAATAGAAATGATAGCAACCTTCTAGTTTAGGAGCACTCGCAAGCTTGGCCTGCACAGAACCCCTTTGCTCCAAGAAGCTCCGCAAAGCAACAAAGGAACGCAGTGATTTTTGGGGTCCTGTCCCGTGTTCCTTCTGAGCCACATCCCTAAAATGGTAGGATATCAAGGAAAGGATTTGTGCTTGGCTTGTTGAGGCTGCCGCTCGCTTCCGCATGCCCGTTTCTGGGCCCCCAAAGCCCCAACAAGAACAGATGTTGGCAGCATGAAATGTGGAAATATGACGCAATTCAAGCTCCAGACTTCTGCGGGACCTTAGAGGAGATGTGCTGCAAATCGTTTTCAGTTGGCTGACAACGGCTTTGTTGAGCTTTGGTCCGTGGAGAGCAGCGTGCCGTCTGCTGCTACAAACGCTGCTGCACTGCTGCTTGTTCGTCCTCTTGAGCTTACCGGGCCAGCCCCAAGGCATAGCAGGAAAAAGTGCATCTACGAGGCTAGGATTTGCCGTTTGGAGGCGCTGGCCGCCTTTGATCACCATTGTGCCCCCTGCTCAATCCACATGAAATCAGCCGTCCCCCTACTGTACACTACACCTTAAACCCAGCAAGCTTCACCTTTACAAACTGCATGCCAGGCCTGTTCCAGAGCAGTAGTTCACAACAAGGCAGGCCCTGGTCAGGGCTAGTGGTGGCTTCAGGGCCTGGGAGCCATCCTCAAGTTGGTAGAAGGTAGAACGCGCCAAGACTGCGCCAAGGCTTATTCATCGGTTCGCTTCAACTGCCAAAGCTCTACTTTCGGCCGCGGTATCCTTGAAGGCTGTATACTGTTCAAGGTTCAGGTAGGGGTTCGAGATTTGGGTATAGGGCTTGGGGCTCTTGGGTGCAGAGCCTCCTGGCTCAGGGATTTTAGATTTGGGTTTTCTGACTTTGAGATTAGAGTTCAGGGTTGCAACATGGGAGTTAGGGTTCTTGGGGTAGATCCGCGTTTCTTCTATAATGCTTAAGAGGGGCTTTCCACGGAAAACTGCACGTGCATGAAGAACGGCATTTGGTCTGTAGGGTCTTGTGTGAAATTTGCTCCCTTGGAATCGCCTTGTGGTTTGATGGAAGCTTGGTGTTGCAATCTGGGCTGTTGTGGCTACTCCTTTGCTGTTGGAACAGGGGACGGCGGTTCACTTGCTTCCTGGCTTGCCGGGCTGGCTCGCCGCGGCCAAATGCGGTGTAGCAGCAGCAGCAACAACAGCAGCAGCAATAGCAACAACGCCAACAACAGTGACAACACCACCAACAGTAGCAACGCCAACAACACTGCCAACACCAACAACACCCACCGTTGCCGCCAGCGACGCCTCCGCTACCACCCAAGCATCCACCCCAACCCCCACCGTCGCCACCACCGCCGCCGCCGCCGCCACCGCCACCCCCGCCACCCCCGCCTCCGCCGCCGCCACCTCCACCACCACCGCCGCCGCCGCCACCACCACCAACAACAACAACAAACCCACAAACAAACAAACAAACAAACAAACAAACAAACAACAAATGACAGCAGCATCAGCAGCACTACTGGCTCCATACTGGCGCCCGCCTGGTGTGCAAGTGAGCCTCACTGCGCACATGCACCAGGTCCGGCGCCAAGCCAGCAGTCTTTGGGTTTCCATTGATAGCCAGCTGCTTGACGATGAAGTTGTCGTAGCACGTGCCTGGCTTTTAGTTCATCGCTCAAGGGACCAAGCTTGAACCCATCTGAGATTCGTTTGTTGCATTCTAACGAGCACAATCATGAACAGCTTGATATCAACAATGGCCCAGAAACCGTCCATGATCACTCCGGTCACCGAAGATTCGGATGCTGTGCTGCTATCAAAGGTGCAGCCTGCAAACAAACCTGGCTTCCTTGCACGAGCCGCATCGCAGCTGTAGCCATCTTCGCAGGTGTCCGTGCCAGGAACACATTGGGAGGTGGCGCCGGTCGCTATGTTGGTGCCCATGTCCTGAGCAATATTTGTGGTGCTGTTCTGTAGTTGGGGTTGACGTCTCCTTCACATTCGCTTTTTCTGTTTCTTGTGATTCGTGGACTAGGGCCCATGCTTCGCAAAGTATCAACAAGGCCGCTGTCATTGTTGTGCGGCCACTTCCTACCGTTTATGTCAACAGTATGATTGCTTTGTGTCTATGGTGGCCAGGTCCTCAATGGAGTCAACGGAGGTGATCCTGACGCACATGTTGGCATCCACCATGCCGGTCACCTTAACCGTCCAGTTGTTGTCCAGGCCATGTGCGGCATGAGAACTGCGAACGATAAGGGCCACGGTCAACAGCCGGAGTGCCAACATTGCTGCGCGAATGCTACTGGCTGTAGAGGCTTCTTATAGCCTGCCTTGCTTTTTAGCTGCATGGAGCCAGAAGCCAGGCATGCGTGACACGAATGAACAAACATAGAAAACCTTTGCAAGCACCACAACATCATCAACAGCAGCAGCAAAAACAAAGACGATGACTATCCTACCTGGACAATTTGGTTGCTTACCAAAACTACAGGATACAACCTCGCCACCCATCTTTCTGGTAAAGATTCCTTACTTTCAGAAGCTTACCATAGCAACAACACAAACGGTGCGCATCAGAAATGACAGTATCCACGAGCGCGAGAAGAGACCAGATGTCTCTTAGAGGCAGAAGCTGTGAAGGGATTGCCTCAATCCTCTCCAGCTCTTAGGAGCGCTCGGGAAACCCAGATTTTGCACCCCCAATGTTGAGCCTGCCTTCTCGATGCTGAGCGCATAATGTGGCATCACAAAACAAGCAGGAAAAGGAACCGAAGGGATGAAGAGCAGCAGATGCAACAGTCGCACCACCGACCAATGCCGCGCTCAGGCAGAACATGTAGTCAACATCTATGTGATGGCAATAATCAAACGATACAGCCTGATGGTTAGGATGCATGAAGCTTTGATTTCTGTTTAAATCAAGAGGCCGAAGAAACAAGCTGCAGTTGAGCGGCTCAAGGTTGGAACTCATCGCCAGAATCCTCTTCAAGTCCTCAGCCAGAAACCTATGAATGTCGCACCTTGCTCCGTGTGCGTATTGCTGAAACAACTCTACAGACTGCAGAGCTCCTACACAAATCTGCAAGTTGAAAGGATTGCCGTTCCCGTATGCAAGAAATTCTCATGACTGTCTCGAGTGCTGATCCTGCTGCTTGTGCTCCATCGTCTTATAAGAGTTTGTCTGAAAGTTCGAAAGTGGAAATGAATTTCGAGACCAAAGCTAGAAACAGTATATGGACATACCATGCAATGAGGTGCATGCTGTTCAGCACCTGCACCAGGGACTGAACCTTTGCTACCTAGACGGGCGAACAATCTTTTGTTCCTGGTTTTGAAGGCTTCTGATCTTGGAAATCCCTGAGGATCGTTGCAGACTCAGTTCAGAAGGTGCTGGCATGCGACTAGGTCTAGCAAGTAAGAAATGCTAGATTCATTTATTACGCCAGTCTCTCGCACGCGGAATCCTCGGGCCCATCCTAACCAACTTCCGAAAGGGCCAGAGCCATGATTGCACAAAGGGACATCATGTGACACGTGTTGTTATTGCCAGCAATGTCCTTTCAAATACTGCCCTCTCTCTGGATATCTCAGTACTTACAATGTCAAAGAGCAACCCAGAAGCCTAAACCTACACTACGCAGTCCAATCCAATTCAACCACTTGTTGCTGATGGATACAAAAGCCTCGATTTGCAGCCTGAACCGCTGAACACCCAAGGATGCAGGCCAAAAGGAAAAAGTCCGCCGGACTTGCATGCCCAGGGCGCGCCCCGATTCACAACCCCTTCTCACCACTGAAAACTGAAACCCCCAAATCAGAAGCTAAAACGATCCAAAATTATAATCCTCAAATCCTGCACCTTGAGCGCCCTGCTTCCCTGCCTCGTGACATCAAGCCCGCATTTCAACATACTTGCAAATTCCCTCATCCCATGTCAACAGCTGGATTCCTTCCATCGTAGGACTTGCTCTCTGGGGTGCCCCTTGTACGTCGTCTACCCATCCTTTTCACAAGTAGGATCATTGCTGCGTGGACCCCAGGGCCCAGGGCCTACACTGCCGCCCAAACGTGAGGGACAAGCGGCCATGGCGCGAGCTGCCCCCCTGAGCCGTGAAACACCGTTGACCAGCTCCTGCAGAGATCTAAGTGTTCCTCAAACGAGGTCAAGGGTTTAAGGTTTCGGGATGATTAGAAATAGGGATTATACTGGGGATGATTTGGGAAAACTTCCATGACATATTGTGGCTATCTCGAGGGGCAGTGTCAATCAGAGTGTCTCTATGCCCCAGAACAAAGATTGGCAGTAGAAGTCAAGGACCCATCTGCTGCAAAATCATCTGTGACACCATGTTGACCATCAGTGGTTCAGGGGCCAAGTTCTTCCAAAAGTGCGGGTTGTTTTTCGGTGTATTACGCACTTTGGCAGCCCCCTTTTGTCTGCCTGGTTCGGACGAAGAGGCCTTCAAATCCTCGGTCCCTGGAAAAAGTCGTGGAGCCCGACACTGAAATTAGATCAAGTGGAAGAACTGTTCCAGCACTGGAACCACTGGCACTGCCACCATAACCACCGCGACTCTTGCAAAGCCACAAAAACAATGACACCATTTTGCATTTGCACTGCTTCAATAGAAAAGGGGGGGGCTCAAGGGCCGCTGTGCGCCGCCCACCTGGCACAGGCACCCTGATCCGTGTCGTGGGCCTTTCTTACAATTCCACCCCTTTCAATGAACCCAGAATGGTAGTGGCCTCGAGGATGGCGCTAGTTTTGACCGCAGGAAGCAGGGCTCAGATTACTTTGGGGCTATGCCCTGGATCCTAAAATGAATGCTCCTGCCATGGAACCAAGTCTATGAATTGGCCGGCTTTCTGTCATTGACTGCCAGCCTCGCCTGCAATCTTCTGTAGTGGCCCATCTTACACTTACAGTTTGCTGATGTCCTCTGCAGAAAGGCGACCATCTCCACCGGTGTCCAGCATGTCGAAAAGCTCCTATCATCAGCAGTTCTGAGGAGTTGTGGATTTAATAGTGCACCCTGCCCCGTTGTTGGGCCCGTAAAGTCATCAGCGGCAGTGGTTCAAAAACCAGCAAGAGGAAACCAGGTTATGAAGGACACCCAGCAGAAGTAGTGTCAAACATCTAAGTTGAAAGCTGGCACAATCAAGGATACCGCGTATTGCTTATGTAAAGAGATGTCGTGTCTATGGGCCTGGCTACTGTTATGGGCCTGACTACTTTTGTGCAATCCCGCAGCAGGCCCAGACAGATGTATGGACTCCTGCCGCGAATCTGCCGTGCGTGCAGGAGAGTGCTGAAACAACTGTCGCCCAACATGGCGGAAATCTACATACGGATCAAGGAAAAACACCAGGCTCACAGCAGGTTTCAATGTGGTTCCTAAACTGAGAGTCCGGCCGCAGCTGACCCTCGTAGACTGGCTACACACTTGCCAATGGCCAGGTTCTTTTCCCTATTTATCATTCACTCTGCCCAAGAGGTCAAGCACCGTGAAGTAATATGGAATTGCTTGAGCATACGTGAGAGATATTCCTGGCTTGCAGGGCTGCCTTACGAACCTCTTCAAGCTCAACCTTATGCCAATTGAACGAGGGGTCCAGGACTTCTGGGCTTGGATTTTGCTGCTGAGATTGTGTTCTCGAACCCAGGCTGTCTCAAACTGAGAAACCCAAACATTTAGCAACTCTAGTTGCGTGATGCGGACCGCAGGCCCTGAGGCATCCGCACTCAAGAACAGATACCCACGATCCCAAGATGGCCAAACACTCTCCTCAATGTCGCTGACATCCAAATCCATTGCTGCCAACCATATCTTGACCTCGTAGTGCTGCAAGATATGCTTGAACCTCATGCAGCGGATGGAGAAACTCAGCACTCTAGACCAGCAAAGTTGATGGGGGGGGACCACGACAAGGCATCTGTCAAGGATTCACAGTGCGGGGCGTATGAACTACTAGAACGGCGGGTGTTTGCTGACCTCCACGATAAAACCAAAGCCACGCACGTGGAATAGTATGCCAGTGTCAGCCAAAGCAGCGCCACATCAACGCAAAAGCATTCATTAACACTGAAGGACCGTCATGCTAGCGTTCATGTTCGTGCTAGAAGGTCATGTCACTGCTAGAAGTTGCAGGCGTTTAAGTGATCAGTGCCGTCACAACCTAGAGGGGTATCATGTGCATATTTGTGCGGCGACCATTCCCTCGAAGGCACTCTTCAATATCCAGCCGGCCATCTCCAGAAGTGTCTGCATCATGGAAGAGGGCGGACATCTTCGTAACGTGCGTGCGCATAGCTCGCTGCTTCTCACGGACCATGACCGTGTCGTCCATGTGAGCCACCTGCTGGAGCTCATGCAGGGTTTCCCGTATATCGTCAGATACAGGGACATCCCTGTGTAAGCAAGCTTTCATTCAGGACAGAAGCCTTGGCACGAGGCATCACGAGGCATTCCGGGGATATTTCGTCAATCCATAGCATGCTCGACTACAAAACTAGACGCCGTAAAGCCCAAGAAGCCAGCAAATCCTCCCCCAAGAATCTGGCCTCAAAGTGCCGACTGGCTGTGACATGCTGTGACTTTGTTACACTGCTTGACATACGCTGACCGGAATGCGCTTTTTTTGTTTCTTGCCTAGTGCACCTGCCATGAATTCTGTACAAACAAAATAGTCAACCCGCTGTTGGCCCCCGACGCCTTGAAGGTTTCCTGCATGAGAACTCCATTTATGACTCCGACCACTGCAAAGCCCATGGTCAACTTGTGGAACAAGCCTTGGTGCTTCAGCACGCTGAGTTCTCAATTTTTCCCAATTGACCCCAAAACTGGATTCGTTGAAGCTACCCAAAAGGCAACAACAATTTTGCAAAGGCTCCTGTACCTGTGGGTCTTCAGGCAATTGCGGCAATCAGGCGACTGGAGACTAACGCCAAAAAACTCAATATTATGATGGGCGTCTCTTTACCAGAAGGTCATAATGCTGAATCCCGTATGTGCGGAGACCACCACTAAAGCTTCTGGAAAAGTGCTTAGTACTCCCTAATTAATTGCGGGACTTGTGGTGCCAATTTTGTAACCTTTTCTGCTCCACGAAGCCTGGGGAAGGTCTATGTGAGGCCAGAAAACTATGCGCCAGGCCTTCAAGTCTGAAGTGCGCGGTCTATTACCTTTGGAACCTGGAACTGCAATCAGAAACCATGAATCTCCTACTGGCAATGAAGTTCGAAAGCGGTAGACTTCTGAACTTCGATGCTGAAACATTTGGAGAGGCTTAATGTTGGACCCGCTTTAATATGCCCGGCCCCCC